CCTTTCCCGCCATTTTTCTTCAGGTGACATTTACAAGCGAATATAATACATTTCAACATGCAACAGAACCTTCAACAACCTTTTCTTTCCTTTCCCGCCATTTTTCTTCAGGTGACATTTACAAGCGAATATAATACATTTCAACATGCAACAAAACCTTCACCAACCTTTTTCGAAAAAGCTGTATAAAAAGGTCTAGAGTAGGTGTAAATGAACATTAATTGTGTTAATGAATACAGCTTCAGAGTYAATAAATTTCCTCCACTTTCTGAATTCTGTGTTAAAGTTATTAAATATCGAACGCCTTTGGCAAGGAATGGTAATTAGATAAATTAATATTTAGCTTCGGTTCATWAAAAAAAAATTCTCGTTTTCTGTCAAAATATCGTTTCTTTTATCGTTTGGTTCTCTCTTTCTTTCTTCTTTTCCTATTTTAAATTATATTTTGTTTTCATTAACCAATCGATTATAAATCTTCTATTTAATTTAACAAATTTGCAATGTTTTGTTTATTTGTTTTTTGTTTTATTTGTGGCATGCCCTCTTATTTACCACGATATGACGTCAACATCTGGTCAACATGTTATGTACTCGGTAGGTGTTGCCGAACGGGTACAGCAGTAATTAATTTTGACAAACTGTTGAAGATCATATTGTGGTAAATAAGATGACATACCAAAAAAAAAAAACCATCGGAAATTTGTTTCTTAGTAAAAAAAGTAGTTTTTATTTAACGAACTTGAGGTCGTTAACACCTGGAAAATTAAGGATAAGAAAAACACAGAACAATTTCCCATAAAGGCCGGAACAAACAAAATGGCTTGATAAAAAGTCGATTATAATGAGAGAGAAATAAACCCTCGGGGATCCAATCAGATTGCTCCTTTTCCATACAAAGCTGCTCCCAATTTGCTATAAACTGTTTTTGTGTTTTTCTCTCTCTCTCTCTCTCTCTTTTTTTTTTTTTTCACTTTCATTTTTCTTGCTTGTTTGTTTATTATTCCTTTTTGTATATCTTTTTCCCCTTAATATCTTTACTTACGCGTGACTTGTATTGATGTATTGGCTACTTATGATGAAAGCCTTAATCACGGCGAAAAGACCGTAAAGTTAGCTCTATTCAAAATCTACATACAAGTACTCCATTAAACTGTTTTTGAAAGGCAAGTGCCCACTGACAGATCATATATATATATATATATATACACACACCGAATCGCTAAAACTTTGACACTTTAACGATATATATA